CACCCCAGCCTAGCTGGGGGCTGGTATAAAATCCTGCTTCTCAAAATTGCAGGCACAAACAGGCCTCCAGGACACACAGCACAAACAAACTTGCTACCCCTCCTCCATCTCACCCCAATGCCAGCACCTACCCAACCCCTCTTTTCCCTCACCTACCTCATGCAGTCAGCCCCTTACCTCCCGCTTCCCAGCTTAAGAGACTTGAGGAGAGTGCTGAGTTTCTGCCTCTCTCTCCCATTCAGACGGGACTCTTCAAACTCCACTCCCATCTGACTCCATCCCCCCCAGCCAATTACTCCCTCTCTCCTCCCCCTTCTCCTCCTCCCCCCAACCCCTTATTCCCTCCTTATCTGCTCTGGGAGCTGCTCCATTTCAAGCACCAGCAGCTCCATTCAAAGCTGCTGCTTAGTGAGATGTTCTTCCCCCTGCTGGTCAGCTGAGCTCCCTGCCTTTGCAGGAGCTCTGAACCTCTGAGCAGGGCTCAAAAAACGGCTGCACAGCTTACAGGGATCTTTGGTGGTGTCCCATGAAGACTAACAACCTTCACACTAGTTGTCAACTGTGATTTTAAATGGATTTTGACCAATGTTTTCAGAAGTGATGGGCTCATACATTAACTTAATATATTTATTTTCTCACACAAAACTTAAACTGAATTTAAACCCCCAAGCAAATGTTCACTTCATAACCTTTTGCTTTGTGGATGATGCAATAAATGCATCAAAATAAGATTGGGTGGGCCTACGATAAAAGACGCGCAATAAAAATTTTATTAAACCAAGCTGCAAGTGTAGAAACACAAAGGGGTAAAAATAATGTCTCTGCAAATTCATCAGATAACATTTGCACTGACAGAACTTTTTATTCTCAAGCATCCCAAGAACTTTTCCACTTAAACTCCCATAAATTGTGTGTATTTTTCTAAAGATGCAAATGGATTGGTATGGTTTCTCACATGAATAATGTTCCAATTAAAGAAGTGCCATTGAGTGCTGAACTTATCAACAGGAGTTTCATATGGCAGTGCTCCTGAAAACCAGATCATTTCATTAGGTGCTTTTCTACTTCTGATTTTTCTCTCTGAACCCAAACTCCTCATAGATGTCCTCCCAGCAGCTAAAACTGACTTTCCTCTAGAACCTCACCTATGTCTTCATTTTGTCACTGACAACTTCACCATTTTCTCAGTTCAAGGTCCTTTATCTCTCTATATATATTAAAGAAAAAATGTCCAGTGGGGCAACAGAGTGATGTCATCACATGACTCTACATTGCCCTACTCCCCAGCCTCAAGAGAGTCCCCAGAAGGGGAAGAGGCAGCCATGACTCAGGGTTCTCATCCCCGCCTTGGGGGGGGCACACCTGGCTCCTCTGAAGGAGGGCCTGGGGAAGGTAACAGTGGCTCCTTGCTGTGCTACGGACCCTGAGGCTCCTGGATCCAGTAAAGAACCACCCACATGTGCCTGGAGCTCCAGCCTGGACCCCTCCCCTACTCCCGCAAGATTAGCACGCAAGCATCAGCTCCCTGTGGAAGAGTGGGGAGAGAAGAAAACCCCAAGGCTCCCTCCCCTCCCTAGCAGCTGGGTCTGACGAAGACCTTGGCCCTTCCCTCCCTGGCAGCCGGGGTGGGGGGGAGAGGCCAGGGCTGGCATGGCCCCCGGCAGCCAGGGGGAGAGCTGTGCTTGCTTACTCCCAAAGACTGGAGTTGGCGAGTGTAGTGAGCAGGGGGCACCGCCCCCTAGCCAATGTAAATAAAAATAAGCCTTGCTGTCTCTATAGCATACTCTTGTTAATAGCTGCAATCTAGTTTTCCGACAGCTATGTCCCTCATCTGCCTTACTCCTTTCATTCCTTATATTTGACACCCCTCCATATCAAATCATTGTTAAAAGTCTTAAACTCCTTCAAGGTAGGAGACACTATTTTCTGTACAGTTCCCAGTATAATAACAGCTTGATTCTGATTTATACAAATACTAAATGATGATTACATTTCAGAGATCAACAGGGCGGTATGAAGTTGTTACACAGATTCTAAATGGTAGATGCATAAAACTTGACAGTGCTCAGCTGTCTTCTGTGAATTCTGTGTGGCAATAAGATTATCTTCCAGTTAGCAAATAGGTTAGCTCTTAAGTCTCCCTCTCCCTCTTGTGATCATTATTTTTAGCTATGTATGTAAATGACAGTTTTTCCAAAACAGACTTACTTCCTCTTGGGTTTTAAAGATAATTCTTCCAACATATCCTTCTTCTGGGAACCAGCTGTTCAAAAGCTGCACTAACCCTTCCTCAGGACCAATCACTCTCTGGAATGGCGGTTTCCTGAACTCAGTCTTTTCTTTGGATATAAAACATTTTTCCTCCATCAGAAAATAATCTAGAGTACAGGATTCAGTGCTTTTTGTGGTAGCCAAAATCTGAAACAACACACCACGTACACAACTATTAGAATGCTAGACATAAACAATGCATGTTTGGCAGCTATGAATGAATGTTTATGAAAAAACTGTTATGATCAATTATTTAATTCTGGGGTATAGATAAGTATTTCTAATGTGTTATTCATAACTAACATACAGATCTCTTTAGACAACCCAAACTGTTCAACTAGTTGAATTTATGTCTGTCCAGACAATTAATAATCCCAGGATTTTCTCACTGCTGAAATAATGCTTGTTGAGTTAAAGCAGTTTTAGGATTTTTTACTCATGAACTAAGACCGTTCAACTGTTACTCTGGAGCAATTCATAGTATATACAGGCAGTCCCCGAGTTACGCGGATCCGACATAAGTAGACCAGGGAGAGGAAGCAAAGCGGCGGAACACGTGGGCAGTGGACAGGGCTGTCCGCTGCCCACGCGCTCCGAGGCTTGGCTCTGCTTTGCCCCCCCCCCCCCGTCCCCCTGGTCTGCAGACAAACCGGGCAGCACCCCAGCTGTTCTGCCCCAGGCATCCTGATTCAGCCACTGCTGGTCAGATTCAGCAGCGGCTGGAT